TTCTGGTGGTCGGACCACTGCAGTCTTGATCGTCTCTCCAAGGCGGTTCTGGATCTGTGCTTACCTCTTTGATGGGACGTCGTTTGGTAATTTTTCGTGATTTTTGGCTTCTTGGTACTATTCTTTGAGTATTTTTTTTTGCAGTATGGTCGCTTCCGACATTGAGTCAACTCTAAACACATCTGAAAAAAATTCTACCCTATCTGTGGTGACCCCTCTTGGTCACAATGATCTTCCAAGTCTACATCAGAGTTATCAATTTGACGGATCAAATTATTTGTCTTGGTCTTAGCTCACTCGTACTACCATCAAGAGTCGCAATAAGATTGCTCATCTTGATGGCCCTGCTCCTGCTGCCACGGATCCTGGTTTTGCTGTCTGGGATAATGAGGATTCTCTTATCATGACTTGGTTGTGGAATTCGATGACTCCTGAAGTGGGTCGTCACTGTATGTTCCTTTCTTCTGCTATGGAGATTTGGGAAACTGTCTGCTCCACTTATTCCTTGAAACAGGATATGGCTGCGCGCTATGAATTACACAATAAAATATTCACTACAAAACAAAATTCTTTATCCGTGACTGAGTACTATGGCACCTTGAAGGAGTTATGGACTGAACTTGATCAATTTCAGAGTTTGAAGATGAAATGTACTGCAGATGCTACTGCTTTAGCCAAGGAGGTGGAAAATGAGCATATTTTTGATTTTCTTGCTGGTTTGAATTCCGAGTATGATCCTATTCGGGTTCAGATACTTGGCAAAGAAACTTTTCCATCCCTTTCTGCTATTTTCAATACTGTTCGGGGAGAGGAGAATCGTCGGGGTGTTATGATGAACCCTAATAAATCTGCCATGTTATCATCAAATGGTGGTGCTGCTTCTAAACTCACTGATGGATCTGCTATGATTTCAACAAAAAAGGATAGTTCTACTTACAGGAGTTCCTTTCCAAAATATTCTGATGGAGCATCTTCTAGACCTAAGAAAGATGATCGTTGGTGTTCTTATTGTAAAAGAACAGGTCATATCAAGGATCTATGCTATCTCCTCCATGGAAAACAAACTGTCTTAGAAAAGATGGCAAGGATGTGTGGTCAAGCGAATTTTACTTGTTCTGATATAGCTCCTGCACCTAATGAGACCCAACCTGCATTTCGTCCAGATGAGTTGGAACGACTTCGGACCATACTTGATTCTCTGAGTAAGCCATCTGGTACTAGTGATTTGGCTATAACTGGTATGAGCTCCAAAATTTCTTCTTTTCTTACTTCATGTATTGATTTTAAACATTCTTGGGTTGTTGATTCTGGTGCTACTGATCATATGGCTTGTTGTGCTGACCCCTTTGTTTCTTATAACCCTACCATTGGCACTCATACGATAGCCGTAGCTGATGGCTCACATACATCAGTTGTGGGTTATGGTAACATAAAATTACAGCCTTCCTTACATCTCAAAGATGCTCTTCATGTCCCTAAACTTTCTATTAATCTTTTTTCTATTCATAAAATCACAAAAGATGTAAATTGCACTGTAACCTTCTTTCCTACTCACTGTGTTTTTCAGGATCTCGCCACGGGGAAGACGATTGGGGGTGCTAAAGAGCAAGGTGGGTTGTACTATCTGGTGTCACAATCTCCTGCAACTCATGTTAAGGATCACATCTTGCTGTCACATGGCCAGTCAACTGCTGATTCTTTGATTTGGCTTCATCATAAGCGCTTGGGACATCCTTCGTTTAGTTTACTCAAGTCTTTATTTCCGTCTTTGTTTTTGTCTAAGTCTGTTGAGTCTTTTCATTGCGATGTTTGTGAGTTTGCTAAGCATCATCGTGTGTCTTTCCCTTCTAGTAGTACTAAAAGTGTTGAACCTTTTGATCTTATTCATTCTGATGTTTGGGGTCCTTTTAAGGTCCCTCATTCTTCTGGAAATAAATGGTTTGTTTCTTTTATTGATGATTGCACTCGTGTAACTTGGGTTTACTTAATGCGTGAAAAGTCTGAGGTACCACAACTGTTCTTTCAATTTTATAAAATGATTGAGACTCAATTTTGTAAAAAAATCAAAAGACTAAGGACAGATAATGGTATTGAATATGTCAATCACTCTTTTTCCCAATTTATACAAAATCAAGGTATGATTCATGAACTTACTTATGTAGACACCCCTCAACAAAATGGGGTTGCTGAAAGGAAAAATCGTCACCTTCTTGAAGTTGCTCGTGCCTTACTGTTTCAAACACATGTACCCAAATGCTATTGGGGAGATGCCATTCTTACTGCAACATTCTTGATCAATCGTCTACCCACTCGGGTTCTCGATCATGTAAGTCCTATTCACTCCATGACTTCTTTTTTTCCTTCTGTTCCAACTTTGCAAAGTCTTCCTCCTCGAGTGTTTGGGTGTGTTGTCTTTGTTCATATTCATAAACAGCATCGCAGTAAGTTGGATCCTAGGGCTCTTAAATGTGTCTTCCTTAGATATGCTCCTGATAAGAAGGGCTACAAGTGCTATCACCCTGGAAGTCAGAAATTTTTGTTTCTATGGATGTTACATTTCAGGAATCTGAGTCCTTTTTCCAAGGTCCTCATCTTCAGGGGGAGAATAATTCATCAGAAGACTCATCACCTTCCTTCTTTGAATTGGAATCTTCAGTGTCTACTCCTTCACCTGTGTCAGTGTCTCTTCCTCTTGTTCTTGTTCCTAATGTGTCTATGTCTGATCATTCTGTGACTGATCCTCCTATGACTGATACATCAAGTACACCAGAGATACAGAAGATTGTGACACCTGAATTGGTATATCAAAGAAGGAAACAGCCCACATTGCCTCAACAGCAACCTCAATCGTCTAAACCACTGGTAAGTCCTGAATCTCATATTTCTGATTATGATGTTAATACTTCTGATGACTTACACATTACTACTGCTTCTGATGATTTACCCATTGCTTTAAGAAAAGGAAAAAGATCTTGTTCCAAGAAATCTTGTTCTTCCTGCTCCTCTTGTACTCAATACCCTATCTCCCATTTTGTTTCCTCTGCTAATCTTTCTGTGCAGCACAAAAGCTTTGTTTCAGCACTAGATTCTACTTAAATCCCAAAATCAGTACATGAAGCTTTGAAAGATGGGAATTGGGCTCAAGCCATGCAAGAGGAGATGAATGCGTTGGAGAAAAATAAAACATGGGAGGTTATTGATAGACCCAACGGAAAGAAAGCATTGGGGTGCAGATGAATTTATGCCCTGAAATATAATTTTGATGGCACTCTTGAGAGATACAAGGCACGATTAGTCGCCAAAGGTTACACTCAAACCTATGGCATTGATTATGAAGAAACCTTTGCTCCAGTTGCAAAGATGAATACAGTGAGAATCTTGTTGTCCCTTGCTGCCCATTACAATTGGGATATAAATCAATTTGATGTGAAAAATGCTTTCCTCAATGGTGAGTTAGAAGAAGAAGCCTACATGGAAATCCCGCCTGGTTTTGATTCTGTAAAGGGGGAAAATAAAGTTTGTAGATTAAAAAAGGCCTTGTATGGATTGAAACAGTCACCTCGTGCTTGGTTTGGTAGGTTTACTAAGGTTATGATGACCTTAGGATATAGACAGAGTCAAGGAGATCACACTCTTTTCTTCAAGCACTCCCAAAATGGGAAGCTTACTGTGCTCCTTGTATATGCTGATGATATTATTATCACATGTGATGATTTTGTGGAGAGACAGATTCTGCAGACACGGCTTGCCTCTGAATTCGAAGTCAAAGACCTTGGGAAACTGAGATATTTCCTAGGGATAGAAGTAGCTCATTCAAGCAAATGAATTTTTATTAGTCAGAGGAAATATGTTTTGGATCTTCTCAAAGAAGCAGGGAAGCTCGGGTGTAAACCCTCTAATACTCCTATTGAGCAGAATCACAAGATAGGCTTTGAAGAGGAGAGTCCTCCAGTTGATAAAGGACAACATCAACGGCTAGTTGGAAAATTGATATATCTGGCTCATACTAGACCAGACCTAGCTTATGTTGTTAGTGTTGTCAGTCAGTTTATGCACGATTCAAAGGAGAAACACATGCAGGCAGTAGAGAAATTCTTCAGTATCTTAAAGCTACTCCTGGTAAATGATTGTTATTCCGACGTGATGACAATCTTTCTTTAGAAGTCTACACTGATGCTGATTATGCTGGATCCGTGACTGACCGTTGTTCTACCACTGGTTATTGCATGTTTCTTTGCGGTAACTTGGTGACATGGAGAAGTGAGAAACAAGATGTGGTTGCCAGATCAAGTGTAGAAGCAGAATTTCGAGCTATGGCTCAAGGCATTTGTGAGTTACTGTGGCTGAAAATTGTACTTGATGATCTCAAAATAAAATGTGAGGGACCTAAGAAGCTGCTATGTGATAATAAGTCCGCTATTTGTATAGCTCATAATCCAGTTCAACATGATCGGACTAAACATATTGAGGTCGACCGCCATTTCATCAAAGAGAATCTTGATAGCGGGTTGATTACCACTCCATACATTCCCACTGGGCGTCAATTAGCTGATCTATTGACAAAGGGACTTCCTTCAGACAGATTTCAAGAACTTACTAGCAAGCTGAGAATGATAAATATCTATTCCTCAGTTTCAGGGAGAGTGTTGTAAATATTAGTGATTTAGCTGATTATTATTATTATTTGTTATATTGGGCCAAGCCCATTAGGTCAAGGAGTAGGTCTTTTATTCTTTATAAATAGAGACCTATGTGTACAGAATATACACACAAATTAATAATATATTTCTGATTACCCTTTTCAAGTCTACCACAAAGGGAACCCAAGACTCCAAATACGAATCTCCAACTGGTCCACACACACATACAATGACAACAGACTCAACATAAGCCGTTTTTGGACTTCAGTAACATTATAACTTTCCACCATAATAAAAAATAATAAAAAATCCAGCTATGCAGAAATATATTACATAATACAACACAGCAAATGGTTGCCATCAACAAGAACAGGATCCATGGTTGCATGAGGAAGAAGATGTTTCAATAAAGCATAGTCTTCTCCGCTTGCTTGGATGTGACATTCTCATTGTATACTCAAGTGAGCTAGAAGCCTTATCCAGTACAGAACTTAGTGCCTCATGAACAGTACTTGCAATAGCTTGGCATGCCTCAGTGTCAATATTGTTCCCTTTGCAACATGTAAAGACAAACACATTCTTCATCCTGTCTCCTAAAGTTGATATTTCTGCTCTTACTAGTTGTAGTTTAAGGGCATTAAGTGTCTGTCTTATGTCAGACAACATCTCAGCTCTGTAATCACAACAGATAGTTGCTCTGTAAGAAATGGATCCATCTCCTACATCATCATCATATGGTGCAACTTTCACTTCATCAGCATCCATTGGTATTAGAATACCTTTGCTTGCTTCCACTGCTTCCTTTCTCAATTCTTTTACTTGGTTAACCACTTTAGTCAGTAATGTGGCCTTGTCCATCTAAAGAGTAGCAATTGACCCACCAAATCAAAGTCAACACATTTTAGCAAATGTTTTCTCAAAGAAAAGGGAGGATAATATCATACATAAAAAGTAACATCAAATTTCTGTTACATATACTTTTAAACTACTTAAAAAACTATATATACTCTCTTTATAACAAGGACAGTAGCCTTATGAATTAATTACTATTAATAGTGTTTAAATTGTCGTCTCATTTTGCTATCAACTTGACATCAACCTAAAGATTGTCACGGTGATTACTCTAGTTGATTGATCATTGATCATTTGATAATGGTGACTTGAATCATTTCAATAACTTCACAACTGAGATAGTTTTTTAAGGTAGTTGATTATATTATTAGAAGATTGAGGAATAATGAAGACAACACATGAAAAATTAATGTCTAACCAGTTTTGATTATCCGGTGCTCAAATATAATGGTTTTGCATGTCTTACAGCACCATCATCAGTTAGCCAACAAACAGAATATGGCTGTACAATGAAACAAGACCATCAAAAACATGCAAGCCACATACAATCACATAATGTCACAACTCACAAGAAATTGTCTCTGTCATGCCAACCAGAAGAACAGCTGGCATATCAGCTACAACACTACTTGATAGCGATATCTTAATCTATCTGATTCTACTGAAAACATTTCTGCTTTTTTTTTTAAAGACCATCAAATTAGAATTACCTAGTCAAAATTGACATTCTAAAGCACATGATGTTTAATAATTTGGTTTTTATGACTTAATCAAGGGGGAAAAAAAAAAAACTTTGTCTGCTTCCTTTGCTTTTCCTGTAAAAGTATATCCTACATCTCAATCCAATCAAAACCAGTAACCTTTCTGCAAATAAGTAAATTAAAAATAGCAAAAGCTATGTGGACCCCTTGCAAATTGAATGAACAATAAACAAAACCAGAATAATCTTCGGTCAGTAATATTCAGCTAGTGGTGTAGGGGAACAAGGAAGAAACATTTAGTTTACGACTATATAACAAATTGAATAATAAATGAAGGATTTCCAGTTTGGGATCATAGATGAAATAAATTATAATCATAAAGAAAAATCATGATCAGGAACTATATAATATGTGAGATTGTATGCCATACATAATAATAATTCCACATGCATTACAAAATAATGTGATGCAACTCCGTAGTTGACTCTAGAAAGTAGCAACTCCCATACCTAGTTGACCATACAAACACAATAATGATGCAATCAAAAGCCTTAATTTAATTAATTACAATAATTAACACGATGTGTTTCAAATCTCAAAAAGTTGTGATGTTTATAGTATACAACAGATTCTGAAATCCATTTTTCATTCAAAATTAACATGCTGCACGAAAGGGGGCATATATTATACACTCACCGGCAACTAGCTAGCTTTCAAAATTTAGAAATGCTATTTCAGTAAAACAATATGGATCATAATATTTCAATTAGAACAACTATAATAAAGACATATTTTGATGAAAATGTTAAACCGATTATACAATCAAAATGAAATCATAAAACTGAAAAGCCAAAAAAATTTAATGCTCTTAAAAATTATGATGATATACACATCAAAAGAACAATTTTCCAATAGAAGGAAAGAATAAAAACAAACCTTCTCAGAAGAGGGGACAAGACCACGTAGTGTTGCAAAATGATCGTTTATTCTGTCCCTCCTCCTCCTCTCTGCTTCTCTATGGTTCTTCAAAGCAGCTAAAGCTTTGTCCTCAGAAATCTCATTATTTCCTACCCCTGCAGTTGCACTATACTTCACCTGCTCTCTCTTCTCACTCTCAAAAACCAATGAATGCGATGATGTTAACCCATCTCCCAAAACATCATTGGAAGCTCCAAGGTTATACAAAGTGGGATTGAAGTTGAACAACCTCGAAATATCAGATCCAGATGAAGAATTCTTGCCATAAAAGGAGTGAAACATAGTCCTGAACCTAGTAGTAGTGGAGTGGTACTACTTGAGAAGCAGAAGAAGGAAACCAGGTGGACGAGTAGTTGGAGCGAACCAAAAAGAAAGCTTTTGTTGATGGATGATGCTCTGTGAACCTGCTATGCTGCTCTTTTTGTTTATGGTGTTTGTCATAACTTCCATTACGCAAGGGGAATAAGCTAGTGGGGCTTAAAGGGGAAGATCAGTGTGAAAACATCCACATTTTCTTCTTGATGTTTTTGAACTCTACCATTCCTATGTGGGAAAAGGCCAAAAGGGAAAGAAAAAAAAAATCAGACTTGACTATACAGACCGAAGACAAGGTTGTGATGTTTCTTAATGGTGCTGATGGAATTCATAGAAGGCTTCAGGAAGATACAGATCACTACTGGGCAGGCACAGTTTTTGAGCTGATATGTCATATGTGTATGGTGGAGAAACATTGTTGTAATGTTGAATATATTTATATACGGGAAATAAATCATTAGTTTACAAATTTTTTGTACAAATTTTTATAAATTACAATATTTTTTCTCGGAAGAAGATAGTGTAACTAGTATTCTTCCGGTAAAAGACAGTGTAATTTGTAATAGTTTATAAACAAAAAAATTTGTAAATATAACACGTTCTTTTATATATATATAATGTTCATTATTTAGTCCATGATTAGTAGTAAGACTCTTATTCTTTCCTTTTCTTGTTACTTTGGTCTTAGTCTCTTAGAGGCGTGCAAGGCTTAAATTATTAATCCCATTAATTACTTGGATTTATAATAAACAAAATTATTGGACTACGGATTGAAAATATTTTTTTGTTTTTTGTTTTTTTCCCACTTTTTAGGGGTTAACATTGTGATTGTATAGTTGAAGTCTTGTAGCTTCGCCGCAACTTCCTTCCTTGTGTTTAAGTATATTTTTATCTCTTGATAAGGTTGGATAAGCAGGAGTTGCACCTTTGTGTTCAGGTATTTCAGTCATCACTACCAGGCTAGCTGCAGCACGTGAATAAAGCAAAAAATGTCTTCGTAGGGTTGAAGCCTTTTCGAAAGCATCACATTTTTCTAAATATTCAGTAGTTTAATATTGTATTCTTTAGAAAGAGGTGTTGTTACTTACTATTTTGAGTAGTTCCTTGTGTAAAGTATCCCTTTCTTTGTGACGGCGAAGTGTCCTTTTTTTTCTAAACCGAGAGGTTGATCATTGATTAAAGATGCTCATATAAAATTTTGGGCCACTTTGACCTTTTTTAGATGTTATTTTCCGCAGCCCATAAAGTAATATATGTAGCTGAATTATGCTTCCAAAAAAATAAAATATATGTATATGAAAACAACTTATATTAATAATATCATTGTGATTTTCAATGTCGGTTGAGATTTTCATCCGTATACACATAAATTTCTCTAACCCAGGTCACAGCGCTGATTGATTTGGACATCTCACCAAAACCTTTTATAATTTTAACATTTTAATTGGGGTGAAGTCTCACTAACCGAACATTTGATTGACATAAAACACACGTGACATTTGTGAGTAATTCAAAACTGAAAATATCTTTTATTAATTCATCCAATTTTTAAAATATTTAATAGGAGAAATGACACACGTGTGTATATATATATATATATATGGAAATATTTTTTTTATTTTATATAAGAAAATTTTTTCATGCTACATACACTGTTGAGATATATAGTCCCACATTAGGTCTCAGGCTCCAATTCAAAAGCTCGGCCTTAGAGCCTCCCAGGCTGACCTAATATATTAATTTTTATTTTTATTTTATATTTTTTATATTACTTGTGATAGCTCTCTCTCCTCAATCCATTTCATCTCATTTTATTAATTAAACAAACTTTTTGAATGAATTTGTTTTATATTATGTTGTTTGGATATACATTAAATGTATGAATATTTATGAAATTACTAGTGCTGTTGATTGTATATTTTGTTTGGACAAATTTTTGTTATCTTAAATTTTTTAAATAGGCTAAATCAGACTTTTATTTTTTTTAAATAAGACAGGCCACATGCTGAAATTATATTCATAACAGGTAACAGGCTTGATCAAGCTGACACATTTAAACACAGGCTTAGCCTTTTAAGACCAAAGCTCGGCTCGGCTCAGCCCGTTAACACCCTTAGCCTAAGGCACTCACACCCTTTGAACTAGCTTTTGGGGTGGTGTATCCCAAGATTCTCTACATGGTATTAGAGCCTTGTGTCCCGGGTTCGATCCTCTCTGCCCCCCACTTTCTTTCTACTGGAATTTCTTTCTTCGCACAGGTAGGTGAGCCTGTGCATTGTCAACCCTTCAAGCCCAGTGGGCTCTCGTGTGAGGGAGCTTTCTTCGCACAGGTAGGTGGACCTGTGCATTGTCAACCCTTCAAGCCCAGTGGGCTCTCGTGTGAGGGGGCGTGTTGAGATATATAAAACCATTAATGTAGCTTCACCCAATAGCTTAAGCTTTTGGGTTGAATTGGTTCTTTACATACACAATACATGAGTAGATCTTGATTTTTTTATTTTCTCACTTTTTTGTAAATCTCACTCATATTTTATGTGTATTGCATGAGAAAATTTTCTCATATAAAATGAAAAAATTAATCTATATATATATATATATATGGGATAAGATCAACTTACACCGGTGTAAGAAAAATAAATCTTACACCAAATCTTAACCATTGATTTTCGGTTGAGATTTATTGGAACTTAAAAATTAATTAATGAGTGAGACATAATAAATCATAACCGTTAGATGCAGAAAATCAATGGTTAAGATTTGGTGTAAGACTTATTATTCTTACACCGGTGTAAGATGATCCTGCCCTTATATATATATATATATATATATATATATATATATTGGTTTAAAACTTCTACTTCTAATTTCACAGCAAAAATTTATTTATCCCCATGAAAAATCGAGCTGGCTTAATTTTTATTTTATTTTTTGCTTTTTGTAATGATGGATCCACCTAAAATGTTGTGTCTGCTGCAAGAAATAAACATATGCTGTGACAGCAGAAGTTTTAAACCCTATATATATTGGGATATGTTATTTTACCTATCTTTTTTTCTGTCTATCATTTTAAAAGACAATTAGATCAGAATTTTAATTAACATTTATCTTTCTCTCTCCTATTTAGATTCTGATTTTTGGTGTTAAAAGATTCTACCTCATATATATAAATATATATATATATATATATATATAACCTATCCCATATATATATATTGAGGTTTACATTTCTGCAGCTGCTGTACGTGCAGCAATCAAATACTTGTCATATATATATATATATATATATATATATTTGAAAACATTAAATGCAGGGAATCATAACCATACACATGTCGTTGTTGTACGTAAAGCGACTACAGAAATAATTTTACCATATATATTCAGTTTAAAGAATTTGAAATTGTAAAAGGAATAATTTTGAAAGTCTTCTAAGGGGATGTTTGGAATGATGGGAAAGTGTGTGAGAAATTTTTTTTAACCATGTTTGGTATAAAGAATCCTAAAGAAAGTTCAGACAAAAAAATTAACCATCATTTCAATTTTGTACTAAATACAACTAAAAAGTTATCCCACAAAACATATGATATTTTTTTTTACCATAAAACCAGAATCTGATTTTAATGAAAAGAGACCAAAATGCACCTTCCTTGGAGGAAAAGTCTGCTTCATTATTGCTACAATATTAAAAAGTTATGGGTAAATTGATAATTTCTGTTAATACTCCCATCAATATTTTAGAATCAACCAATCGTACCATCAGTAAAATTATCCAAATTTTTTCAGTAAAATTTTGACCTACCAAATAACTTTTCGTTACTTTCCTGGGCTAAATAATTTCTCCTATATTCTCAGAAATCTTTTTTTCTCTAGGAAAAAAAAATATCTCTTATACCAAACGTCTCCTAATTTTATTTTTACTCGTTTGCAGGGACTAAACCCAGCAACTTATCCTACTAAAAAAAAACCCCAGCAACTTAGTTAGTTTTCGGTCAAGACCCATACTAAACTCGACCAATTTTTGGTATAGGCCCACATCCCCCAAAACCCATTTTATTACTAATTTTGCTTTTATTAAAAAAGAAAAGAAAATCTCTGCTGCACACCAATCCATTCCTAAGCCCAAACAATTTTAAACTCTCGGCCCAACTTGTTTAAAAGACAAGAAGAAGAAAAACAAAAAAGACACAAGAAGGGAGTGGGTTATGGTGTATGAGCACAATACACAGATGAACTTTAGAGCGATAGGTGAGGGTAGATACTAGATAGACACCATCGTGTTAGCTATTATTGTTTTGATCTCCTAACAATCTCATCTTTTGATTTCGATCTAATAGTATTAAAGAATATTAGGCAAAAATATACAGAAAAAATAAATAAATAGAATAACATATCTCGTTATTTAGGGATATATTATTCTACCTATTTCTTTTTTATAGGCGCAATTGAATCTGCGCTTGCACCTACAAAAAAGAGATAGATAGAATTATATATCCCTAAATAAAAGGATATGTTATTTTACTTTTTTGTGTGTTTATCTTTGTTTACTATTCTCCAAGACCATTAGATCAGAATATTAATTACCTTTATCATTTCTCTCTCCTATTAAGATTCTAATATAATAGTATTAGAGAGTAATGAATAAAGATAGGCAGTAAAAAAAATCGATAGAATATATATAAGGATATATATATATATATATATATATAGCAAAATAATTTGTAATGTGACTGCATATAAGCATTGGAGCAATCACCTAAAAACTTGTTAGGGTTGTTTAAGTAAGTGGGTAGTTATTTGAATTTTAAATTTCCTAAAGAATGGGTCATGGCTATTAGTGGAGCCTATTTAGTGTTAGTGGGTAGTTATTTTTAGGTGACTGCATTGGAGCAGTCACCTAAAAACTTGTTATGATTTTTTATTTTATTTTATTATTTTCTGAATTGTTGGGTTGTTTAAGTAAGTGGGTAGTTATTTGAATTTTAAATTTCCTAAAGAATAGGTCATGGCTATTAGTGGAGCCTATTTAGTGTTAGTAGGTAGTTATTTTTAAAGTTGTCTTGTATTATCTATTTAAACCTTCATGTATTTGAATAAAAGTATCATATCAGATTAGAAAAGTTATCCCAAATAGCATTCTGTGCAAGAGGTCAGAGGTCAGGCTTCCTCAGTAAAGCCATTTGAGGTCAGGCTTCCTAAGTAAAGTCAAATTCCCATTTTTATTTATTGTGTTCGTAACAATTGGTATCAGAGCTCAGGCATGGACAAAGAGCTCAGGCATGAACAAACGCGTTCAGAAATTGGAAGATGCAGTCCAATCTTTGTCGGAGCAATTCAAGGAGATGTTCACCAAATTTTCCAACAAATTGGACGTCTTGGTGGCTAACAGGACCAACACCCTCTCATCTGCTATTGGACTGGCAAAACTATATGAGGCATGAAATCAGAAGATCATCTTTCCTGCTCAGAATGTGAAACGGACCATAACAGTCAGCAACACCAAGCGTTCACCTTTATCCACTCCCACCAGCGGTGTTGCATCTTCCCGTAGTGGCGCCTCCTCCATCGGCTCAACTCTTGTTCGCTGTAATGATGCATTCACTCTAGGCCATCACTGCAAACAATTTTTCACCATCCAAGCAGTGACAAAAGAGGCGGTGATGGACGAAAGTGAAGGAGAAGCAAATATTGAAGATTATTCAATTACTTGATGTTAAATTTACTCTTGAGGACAAGAGTTATTTTTAGGGGGAGGGAATGTTACGATTTTTTATTTTCTTATTTTCTTATTTTCTGAATTGTTGGGTTGTTTAAGTAAATGGGTAGTTATTTGAAATTTAACTTTTCTAAAGAATAGGTCATGGCTATTAGTGAAGCCTATTTAGTGTTAGTGGGTAGTTATTTTTAAAGTTGTCTTGTATTATCTATTTAAACCTTTATGTATTTGAATAAAAGTATCATATCAGATTAGAAAAGTTATCCCGAAAGGAATTCTGTGCAAGAGGTCAAGGTCAGGCTTCCTCAGTAAAGCCAAATTTCCATTTTTATTTATTGTGTTCGTAACAAAACTACGTCGTTTTGGTTGGGATAAAAGAAGTTCGCGTTCAAAATTAATTATAGAAAATAAAAATATTATTTTTATTTCTACTTTTGTATGATTATGATTCTCCATATTTAATACTTTAAATTTATTTCCGTCTTTGTATGGTTATAAATCCTCATATTTAATGCGTTCACACTACAAAACGATGTAGTTTTATATGACTGCACCATTCCTTAGGTGCAGTCATTCTATATCCGCTAAACCATATATATATATATATATATATTTATTTATTTATTTATATTGCAATGGACAAAATTAGGGTACCCATGATAATGTAAACTTCAGTTTGAGCGAAAACTATGATGGGAACTTGGATGATTGTGTGAATCAGCGTTATCCCAAGTTAATAGAAAGTAAACAAGATAAAAAAGGGTTGACCACACAAAGTCACACATAGGTTTATTAAGCTTTAGAAAACAAGTAGTTCGCAATACATATATTCACGTTTCTCTCTCTCAATAAATCTTCCCAACATTCTAGTAGTTATTGATGCTACTTGATTATTGTGTACCCACTGCATCTCCAACACAAGGAAAACCAAAGACTTCAGAGAACGAGTTACAATAAAGTAACACATATCTCCAACAGGTCCACAAACACAGTGACAACAGCTTCAGCATGAGTAGTTACTACAAGAAAAAAATGTATTTGTGACGAAAAAATTTCGTCATAAATTTTGTCACAAATAATCAAATTTCGTCACAGATAAACTTGCGACGCAGGAATTTGTGACAAAATTTACTTGCAACGTAGGTATTTGTAATGAAATTTCATAACAATTTTGGGACTTCAAAAGCATTACAATTTTTCAACATAAAAAAATAAAATGCAACATTGGAGAAATATATAACATAACATAACACAGCAAATGGTTGCCATCAGCAAGAACAGGATCCATTGTTGCAAGGGGAAGTAGATGTTTCATTAATAAAGCAAAGTCTTCTCCGCTTGCTTGGGCGTGACCTTCTCAGTGAGTACTCCAGTGACTTAGAAGCCTTAACCAATACAGAACTTAGTGCCTCATGAACAGTACTTGCAATAGCTTGGCATGCCTCCATATTAATATTGTCCCCTTCGCAACATGTATAGATAAACACATTCTTCATCCTGCCTCCTAAAGTTGATATTTTTGCCTTCACTGGTAATTGAAGGGTATCAAATGTCTTTCCTAGATCAGACAGCAGTTCAGGTTGGTAATCACAGCAGATAGTTGCGCTGTAAGACATGGATCCATCTTCTACATCATCATCATTTGGTACAACATTCACTTCATCAGCATCCATTGGGATTAGAATACCTTTGCTTGCTTCCACTGCTTTCGTTTTCAATTCCTTTACTTGGCTAATCACTTCAGCCAGTAATGTGGCTTTATCCATCTAAATAGTAGCAATTGACCCACCAAATTAAAGTCAGCAGATTTTAGTCAATGCTTTCTCAAAGAAAAGGGAGACAGTATCCTTATGAATTTAGTAATTTACTACTACAACTAGCATTTCAATTATTGACTCATCTAGTTATCAACTTGACTTTAACCCAAAAGATTGTAAACGGTGATTAGACAGCAACTGAGTTAGTTTTCTTAAAGTAGTGTGTTTCGTAGAGGAGATATTTTTTTTGTTAACAGCGAAAAAAGATTTCAAGAAATATGGTAGGAAACTTTTGTTTTCAAGGAATGTTGGATTAATTATACTTAAGGTACGAGAAAATAAAAATATTATGTATCAGATGATATTTTCGTTTGAAACTCTGTAATTAAAATTGAAATGATGCGAAAAAAAGATTGTTTCAAGTTAATTTCCTTACTAAAAAGTTATTTATAGGTTAAAATATTTTTAGAAATATTGGTTGAAATTTTTTGATTTTATGTTTAATTATTTGTTAATGATTGCTGAAAATATGCACTGATTTTATAAAATTAACGTTTGATGAATTTTTTTTTTAAAAAAATAATTCTGATATAATACAAAAGATAACCTTTAGCCATCACTGTTCCCCCGCACTTCGGATTAGTCCCATAGCCGGCTCAAAGAGTCGAAGCTCGTGGGGATACCGGAGGGAGCCAACTCGTCTCAAAGAGATAATTAGGGTTGGGTAACTCCAAAAAAAAATAACCGAATGAAGCGCGTGAAGCAGAGATTATCCGGTGCTTAAATCAAATATAATGGTTTTCCGTGTCCCACGTCACCATTTGATTCAGTCAGCCTACAAACAGAAGATGGCTGTCCAACAAAACATGGAAGCCACCACATACTATCACATAATACCTCAAGAAATTGAATCTGTCATGTCCAACAGCACAGCTGGCACGTCTACAACACCACTTGATAGCGATGTCCTAATCAATCTGAATCTAGTGAAAACATTTTATGTTTTTATTTTTTATTTTTTTCATTTAGATAAATACCATCAAATTAAAATACCTATTCAAAATTTACATCATCATATTAATCAACAAAAACGAAAAAAAAAACTCACCGCTTGCTTAGTTTTTCCTGTAAAAGTATTTAATAATTTAATCATATAAAAAATAATTTAATATTAATAAGAGAAGAGAAGAAAAAAATATTTAACTAAGTAATTATAAAATTATTACTATTAATTCATCATTTTATGATTATAATTCTCTCACATAACATAGTCCTATGAATCCATTTCTAAATATATTTCCTAAAACACATCAATAAAATCCAGTAATGTTTGTGCAAATAAATAAATTAAATGGAAACAAAAATAAAAAATAAAAATTAATAATAGGATAAGCTATATGCATTCCTTGCGGAATTAAATGAACAACAAAAAAAGCCAGTAATATTCAGCTAGCGATATAGGGGCCCAAGAAAAATTTTCATTTATAGAACATATTGAATAGTAAACGAAGGATTTTCAGTTTGGGATCATAAATGACGAAACCATTACAAAAAATATTACGCGCATAATGAACAATAATATGGGAGGTTGTACGCCATATCTGCGACCATTGAGTGACAAAATATTTATTTAAAAATAAAAGAAAAAATAAATCACCATCAATTTTATTTACATTATAAAAATTATAATATTTTATTTTATTTTATAAGCTAGCTGATCTTTGAAATTTGAAATCAAGGTTTGGTACTTGCATGGAAAATATTGGAAAATGAATTTCGTTGCATCTAAAATGCATCAATTTAAAAAGTAATTATTTTAAATTAATTGTCAAAAGTATTAATAAATTTAGAAAAAAAATTAATTTATTCTTAAAATAAAATAAATAAACAATGAAATAAAACCACAAATAATTTATAAATAAAATAATTTTCCAATATTAAATTTTGGCTTCACGAAAAAGCAAAAAATATTTGAAAGAAAATATTTACAGGTTATTTAGTTTTCATTTTTGAAAGGAGCAAATTAAAAGAAAGTTAATCCATAATTGCTTAAGATTTAACATTTGAGAATCACCAATCATACAATCAACATTGAAGTAAAGTTAAAAAAAATGGAAACATATTCATTGAATCATTAGAAAATAACTTTTATTATGAGAAATTTCACAAATGATGTTATTTTGAATTAAATCTATTTTTCATTGGACCCTACGAACACTTGACAGTGACAAGTCATACAATGATATGATACAATCAATGATGATCGCTTTTTTTAAAATTTCGTTAAATTATTTAAAAAAAAATCGTTAAATTAAATAATGTTCTTCTTGATAGCATGAAGGTAAAACGCGAACCCATTAACAATCCCCATTCCTTCTAAATTTTCTCTCAAATCATAGGCTAAACTGAACTCAACCAAAAATACAACACTTATGTTAAAATTTGAAGACAGGGTAACAACCATAGTGGTGCCACAGGCAAGACAGCAAAGGTGGGAATAGCACGGTGCGACGGTGGCGCGGTTTACTTTTCTTTTGTGCTTGACGGGATTTAAAGCAGTGGTCATGCGGTCTGATATTTGAAAAATGGAGTTTGAAGTGAGCAGTGAATTAAATTACAAAAACGGTTTGGTTGGAGCAAATCAAACCGGTTTTAAAAAGTGGCTTAGTTCTTGAATCAATTTAGAAAAATAGTTAAATTTTTAAATTGGTTTGAAAAAATCTGACGCCGTTCGGTTTGGTTCGTAATTCAGTTCAGTTCATTTAATTTTTTTTTTTCACTTCTAAAAATGAGTATAATTCAGTTCGGTTCAGACTAAACAAAATGATTTGGTTCTTAAACTTATTCTTAATCTAGTTTGAATAAAATAATTCAATTATTCAATCAATTTAACAAATTATAATTCTTTTGATACGGTTTGAATGAGTTGATAGTTCAATTTAATTTACCTATTGCACACCACTATTCTCAGTTAAACATTGTAACTTTATGTATGATGTTTTAGTTGAGGGGATGCTGTGTTTTCCCTTAAACAAATGCAGCTTAATTAGATCTGCGTGATTCCTCTAAAAAAATTTGTTTGGTTGATTTTATTTTATTTTTGAAGCAGTTGTTTGGTTCACTCAGCATTCAGCGGAGGAATCTATTTTTTTAATTTAATTATATATTATTAATGTTTTGGTTGAATCTGCAAGTTGAGGAATCTCCTCTCTCTTTTTTAAGTTATTTATTATTAATTATTTATTTTGTATTTTCATGATAAAGTGATGAAACTCAATAGTTGATTCTAGAAAGTTGCAACTCCCATGCCTAGTTGACCATACAATGACAGTAATGATGCAATCAAAAGCACTTAATTTAATTACAATAATTGTGATGATGTGAATCGAATCTCAAAATGCTGTGTGGGTGTTTATACTTTATAGTATACAACAGAATCTAAGCTCCATTTTTCTTTCAAAATTTGTGTGTAAGCATGAAAGGGCAGTATACATTCACAGCAATAAGCATCAAGACATAACTGAAATAAAATCACGTAGGTATGAATTCACTTGAGCATTTTGCAAAAAACTGGAAATCTCAGTTAAAAGTCTCAGACTTTTTTTTTTATTTTTTTTGTTTCTTGGTTATGCACTTTATAGAAACATTGTCATGATTCTTATGCAATAACTGGTTAGCTTTCAAAATTAAAAAATGTTGATTCAGTATATTCATATGGATCATATAATCTTTCAGTTAGAACAATTATATTAAAGACATATTTTGATGAAAATGTTAAACCGATTATACAATCAAAATGAAATCATAAAAATGAAAAGTCAAAAAACTTAATGGTCTTATAAATTATGATGACCTACACCAATCAAAAGAACAATTTTCCAATAGAAGGAAAGAATAAAAACATACCTTTTCAGAGGAGGGAACAAGACCACGTAGTGTTGCAAAATGAGCGTTTATTTTGTCCCTTCTCCTCCTCTCTGCTTCGCAATGGCTCTTCATAGCAGCTAAAGCTTTGGCATCAGAAATCTCATTTTTTTCTGCCCTTTCAGTTGCACTGCACTTCACCAGCTCTCCCTTCTCTCTCTCAAAAACCAATGAATATTGCGATGATGACAACCCAACTCGCGAAACATCATTGGAAGCTCCAAGGTTATGCAAAGTGGGATTGAACAACCTCGAAATATCAGAGCCAGATGAAGATTTTTTGTCATAAAAGGAGTAAAACATGGTCCTGAACCTATTGTACTACCTAAGAGAAGAAACGAGGCAAACAAAAAAGAAAGCTTTTGGGGATGGATGATGCGCTTGTGAACCTGCTATGTTGTTTTCTTTGTTGATGAATACATTTATATAGTGCATTATTTAGTCTCTGTAATAATAATGCTCCAATACTAGTACTATTACTACGTAATTCTTCCTAGTTGCGGAAACCAACTATGTATAGAAGCTTTGGGCTAACTTACATCAACCATAACAAGTGAGTCTGATATTATGGACTCCTCTTAATTCACCTAAGAGTTGGATTAGAGTCAAGTTCGACTCGAGTTAGTCTCGTGATTGGCTATAGATAGGTTGTGCTCCCGTTGAGAGGAATCATATCAATGTGAGTTTTATACTTGAAGAGGAGATTGTCGGGATATTTAAACGTGATGGAATCCCTATTTGGTTTGTAATGCGCTAAGTGAATTGTGTATAAGCGGGAGGACCCATAAACCCAATGACTTAGGGTTTAACATTAAGATATGGTGTCGGATTCACTTAATGGGATTGATCTAACTTAGTCCATTGATGATGGTCCCCTCCTATGGGCTATTGACAAGAATATAATATAAAATCATCTATATTTTTAGCTTAAGTTTTTGGTATAATTGATTTAAAAATCATCATCATCAACATCAACAACACTTATCCCAAATTAATTGGGGTAGGTGGTAGATGAACCCAAATGAAAGATACAAAAAAGTTGAAAAAAGAAACATAAAAGTAAAAATAAAAATAAATAAATAGAATAGTAATAATATATATATATATATATATATAAGTAAAAGTAAAAAGAAAGGGAAAAGAAGAAGAGGGGAAACGAAGGGGAAAAGGACTAAAAAAGAAACCATATGGAATATAGGAATAACAACGGGTCTAACCCTCCACCATGCTTATAGCTTTTCTCTATTCCGTTCTAAGACATACTGTCCGCCAATCTATATCTCACTCCATTAAATCTTGTTTTACCACCTTCCCCCAAGTAAGTTTCGGTCTACCTCTACCTCTTTTTGTGTTGAGCTCTTGGTAACAAACTTTTGTTCTTACGGGAGCATCCAGGGGCCTTCTCATTACGTGCCCAAACCACCTCAATCTATGTTCTCTCATCTTCTCAGCCACCGGTAGTACTCCTACCTTTCGTCGAATATCTTCATTTTTTATTTTATCCATCCTCGTATAACCACACATCCACCTTAACATCCTCATCTCTGCTACTCCCATTTTATGCTCATGTTGCCTATGTGCTGGCCAGCATTCAGCTCTATATAGCATTGCAGGTCTTACTGCTGTTTTATAGAATTTTCCTTTTAACTTAAGGGGGATTTTGCAGTCACACAAAAACCCAGATGCACTGCGCTATTTCATCCACCCTGCTCTGATTCTATGATTTACATCCTCATCAATCTTTCCACCTTTTTGCAAAATGGAGCCCAGGTATTTAAAATTGTCTTTCTAGGGTACCTCTTGATCACTTAGATGCACGGGATCTTGGTCTACATCTCCTACCAGAGAAAACTCACACTTCAGATACTCAGTCTTGCTTCGACTTAATGTGAATCCTTTAGATTCCAATGTGCTTCTCCACAATTCAAGTTTTCTATTAACATCATCCTTGCTCTCATCAATAAGCACAATATCGTCTGCAAAAAGCATACACCATGGCACTTCCTCTTGAATATATTTTTTTAGTTCATCCATAACTAAGGCAAAGAGATAAGGACTTAGAGCTGACCCTTGGTGTACACCTACCGTGATAGGGAAATAACTTGATGTTCCGTTATAAGCTTTCACACATCTAGTAGCCCCATCATACATATCATTGATTGCCTTTACATACTTTGATGGTACCTTTTTCTTCTCCAGAACCCACCATAAAATTTTCCTTGGAACCCTATCGTATGCTTTCTCAAGGTCTATGAACACCATATGTAAGTCCTTTTTCTTTTCTCGATATCTTTCCATTAGTTGTCGCATCAAGAAAATGGCTTCCATGGTACATCTTCCTGGCATAAATCCAAATTGATTTACAGAAACCTTGGTATCTCTCCTCAAGCGATGCTCAATAACCCTTTCCCACAACTTCATAGTAGGGCTCATTAGCTTAATGCCTCTATAGTTTGAACAATTATGTATATCTCCCTTGTTTTTGTAGATAGGCACAATCATATTTTTCCTCCATGCATCAGGCATCTTATTTGTCTGGAGAATCTTATTGAAGAGATTGGTCAACCATTTTATTGCCACATCCCCCAGGCCTCTCCACACTTCAATAGGGACCCCATCAGGTCCCAAGCCTTTATTAGTCTTCATCCTCTTTAAAGCCTCCTTAACTTCATGTGTATTAATTCTGCGCACAAATCTTTTATTCAAACATCATAAGCGTTCTCTAAGTCCACCTCGCTTATATCTCCATCCCCATTAAACAGCTTGTTGAAGTAGTTCATCCATCTTGCATTTACATCTTCATCTCTCACAAAAAGTTTTTGATTTTCATCCTTGATGCATCTAACTTGGGTGAGGTCTTTACTTTTCTTATCCCTTATTTTTGCAAGTTTATTTAAAAATCCAATATAAAAATAAGAAATTTTACACTCATTTTTTGTCATCTATTTACTTATATCCAATGACTTACATAATTAAAAAACTCAAACGGTTAAATATAAATAACATCAACGACTTGTATATAGGGTTTATCGTTTCTCCTGTCACAAGAGATAAATTTATCTCTAATAACCCCAAAACTACATAGTTTTTGAAGGCTTTGGTAAAATTCATATAACAAAGAAGGAAACTAATTGTTAAAATATCATTCATTAATTCTCTCAATTCCAAAAGTTTTGGGATTGCTAAAGATAATTTTATCTCCTATGATAGGAGAAATATATTTCTTATATATATACATATAAGGCATTCTTATGGTTATAATTATTGGGTCACACTTATTATTTAATTAGTAATTCCTAATAATTAAAACTGATAAATTGGAAGAAATCAACGGTTAAGATTTGGTGTTAAATGATCTCGCCTATATATATATATATATATATATATAGGGTTTGGTGTTTGTCATTTTAAGAGAGAGATACACACAAGAAATGGAAATCATGGAAGAGAAAGTGGGTGTTTTTTAATTTAAATTTTAAATAAAAAATATTTTATTGTGTCTATCTCTCTCTTAAAATGACATAACTTTATGTCATTTAAAATGACAAATACTTTTCCTATATAATATATATATATATATATATATATATATATATATATATATATATATGAGGTAGGATCCTTTGACACAAATTTGACACCTCATCTGATAGCTGTTAGATCAAAAAAGATCAATGACTCTGATTTGTAAGCATATGATGCCGTTGATCTTTTTTGATCTAACGGCTATCAGATGAGGTGTCAAATTTCAAATTTGACACTGGTGTCAAAGGATCCTACCTATATATATATATATATATATATATATATATATATATATATATATATATATAAGGCAAGATCATCTTACACCAGTGTAAAAATGATAAGTCTTACACCAAATCTTAAGCGTTGATTTCCATACATCTAATGGTTATAATTTATTGGTAATTACTAACTGTTAAATGCACATAATTCAGTGATTAAGATTTGGTGTAAGACTTATTATTCTTACACCAATGTAAGTTGATCTTATCCCTATATATATATATATATATATATATATATATATATATATTGGGAAGCACTGTCACAACTTTTCTTTTAAAAAAGGCATGTCGGACACCGACACGTTCCGATACGTTCAGACACGCGGTCAACGTTTTGGGACATATTGACTATTTCGACACGCGAATTTGATCGTGTCCGACACGGTCAGATGACATTTTTGTAAAAAATTATAATTTTTAAAAATTAAAAAACATTTAATAAAAAAAAGGAAAAAAATGTTGAATAGCAAGAAGAGGCAGCAAGCCAACAACAACACCCTTTGAATGACGCCGACGAAGATGAACGAAATGGTGTCATTGGACAGTACGGGCGTTGCTGCTGCTGTTGCAGGTAACCATTGCAAGAAGTTGGTGCTTGTGATGGTGGTGGTACCGTTTAACTTTTGTCTACGCTCACCGTTTGTTGTGGTGGGTTATCTCTTGTGGTCATTTTCTCTCTCTAGATTGGGTTTGGTTTCTTCTTCTACTTTGTCTCTGTGTGTGTATTTCTAGCTATTAGAATGTGAGAGAGGGAGGTCTTATGGAAAGAAAATGAAGATGGGTATTGATTTGACGAGGTGACTTTTGTTGCTTCATAAAGTAAATAAAAAAAAAGATGAAATAATATTAAAAACTTGTACTAAAAGAATTGATTTAAGATTAGAAGAAATAAATTACTATTTTCAATTTCAACACAAGGGCACACTCAAATTACAATATTATTTTCTTTTCATTTTTTTAATGTTACTCTTCATATATATGTTAGATTTCAAAAAGAAAAAAAAATCAAATAAAAGAAAAAGAAGATAAAATCATACAGTCATATTCTTCCGTTTGCTCTTCACCAAGGGAAGAAAAATAATTCAACTTGTGAGTAGTCTACACTTTAATACTTTATGGATCTTCTATTATTTTTTTATATATTTATATTATGAAATTTGAATATTTGATTGGTTATATGACTTATTATGGGTTGTTATATGTATTAAATGTAAACTGTGTTATATATATTAAAAATATTATTTAATATTAAAACGTGTCCTAACGTGTCAAAATCTGAACATTTTAAAATTAACATGTCGGCGTATCGTGTCATGTCGTGTCTGTGTCAGTGCAACATAATGTGTGTGTGTGTGTGTTTGCTTTGGTTTTAGAGGGCAACAAGAGCTAGATTATCATTCTTATTTTGGGATTTAAATAAATAAAGTTGATTGCTTCTAGGTCATTTTGTTGCATGGTGGTTGAAGATTGTTAAGAATGACTTTTCCGCATGTT